CTAGACGTGGTACAAGAACTATTTCCAAAATCAAAATACAAGATCACATTTCAAGTTTAAAATTGTTACTTTGATAAGCATGAAACCCTAAACAGCACAAAACTTAGTAGCACTAGAATTCCAATCAACATTTGTGGCTCTATTTTGATAGTTGTGTTACAGCATTTTATCCATTTGTTGAATATAATGCAATATTTGTTTCCTATTTGGAGGAAACAATGGTTTTGTCAACACATGTTCTAGCTATTACCATAACAATGGTTGTTTTGTTATTATTATTCTTCCATAGTAACCTTATTATCCTTAAAGAAACTTATTGGCTAAAGCTGCATGTGATCCACCAAAGTTGGGGTGCTGATGTAATCTAACAAATGAAGGTACAACTTTACTTGCTAGAATATAACTCTTTTGTATTGTTGGAATCCAGGTGATAACACAAAATCATTAATTTTTCCAAATGTAATTGTTTGTAGTTGTGTTAAAACTGATATTTAAAAAAACAAACAAAATTCATCATTAACAACTCAGGCAAGGTACTTTTATCTTCTGACCAGATGGACTCCAATTAATGTTGCATTTTTTTTTTCTGGATGGATGATCTCAAACATGTTTCAGTTTTCACATCATAAAATTGTAGGTTGAGTATCCCAGCTGTACCATCTTTAGAAGGAGTAGTATAAGGCTCACATTGCCAAGACATTGTTTCCTTGTGAAAATTCAGGACAAACTACTTTTGGGAAGCTGAAGTCATGCAGTGGCCCATTGTTAGTGAATTGATGATAAGTACTTTTATTCTAGCAACTCTGCCACACAAGATCCCATATCACTATAGGTATAAACTTTGTAATTTTTTTTTTCAAATTCCAGCTGTCATCCCTGATTTTGAGAAAGGTAGAGAATTTCAATACAAACTTTATAAAGAATACCCCAGACCACCTGGAAAATACAAGTGTGGTAGTCCATTCACCATACCCAGCCCCTATCCTTGGACTATCAAGAGCAGCACGGATGGTGCCATCTTGTTTTAGAAAAAAAGAAAATTCTTCTTAATACTGCCAAAATTACAGATTCTGCTAATTATCATCCTGTGGTTGTCTTTGGTCATAACTAAAGGGAATGCTAAATTTTGATTACAGATTAGAGTAAATAAAAATGTCAAAATCCAAGTTAATAGGAACCTATGGGTTGTATCCACAGATCCACATTAAGAACACCTGGTCTAAAGATTTTCAAAAGAGACTGGGAATCCTCCCTCATTCATATGCCTAGCAGAAGTCAGTAAGGGGCCAGTAAGAAGAATGGGATGGTATGAGCCATCCACAATTGTACAATCATTCATTCTACATTCCTTATTTTATCTATTTGATTTATCTGGGCTTCTTGAGACTTCTCGTGTCTTTCTTGGTATGTTTTTTAATATCAAAGTAAGATTAAAACTAGTCAGTTTCAGGCTGGAGTTGTGGCTCAGTGGTAGAGTGCTCACCTACCATGGGTGAGACACTAGGTTCCATCCTCAGCACCACATAAAAATAAGTAAATAAAAATAAAGGCGTTGTGTCCACCTACAACTAAAAAATATTAAAAAAAAAAAAACCTAGTCAGTTCTATTTGTTTGGCAGCTATTGTGTTTTGGTTTTGAGGAAGGACATTCTTTTTTGGTTTGGGGGTAGTTTTTAAATATATTCATGGTTTGAAATATACTTTATGGTTGTAGGGAAGGCTGAAACTGCTGATTGTCTCAATTCATGTGTTTATGCCGTTTCTAACTTCTATGAATTGGCTAATTGGGCTTAAAATGTGAATAATATCACAATATTAAATCTTGACCACTGTCTTCTGCCTTTGAAGATTTTGAAGTCGGTAAAATTTAACCCTCTCTTGACTTCCTCACTGCTGCCCTCTCCTGGGCTTCTCTTGTCTTCCAGCTTCTTTAATGGGTCATTTCTAAAATCCTCTTGTCTGTCTCCCACTCTGCCAACCATAAGATGTAGGCATTTCCTCCACATTAGGCCTTGGGATGGTTTCCTCTTGATGTGTTTTACCTTGACACTATCTCCCAATCCCTAATTTCCATCCTTTCCCATGTTCCTTGTCAGCAGTATAAGAGCCCTACCTGCCTCTTCCAAGTTGTTCAGATTTTAATAAAACTCGCCACGCACTCTTTAGACACTTTGTTAAGTGCTAGGGATACAAATCTGGACCAATGGAGTAGGTTCCTTCCTTTGCACACTCGACAGTCTACCAAGGAGAGCAACCTTAATGAGTAGGATGAAAGGGTCAGAGTTGATCATTACGGATCTAGCCTACTTTGGGGACTTTGGGAAGTCCATCTAGGGGAAGTGATGTTTAAATTGGAAACTTGAAGGTCATTGAGGGACAGCTCAATGACTAGTGTAGGAACTGGGATTTAGAAAATGTAAATGTTATAGTTTCTAAATTTCTAAATATACATTTCTAAATGCCAAAATGCCAAAATCTAGAGAATAGCAGGGAAGGAGGAAAAGATGTAAAGTTTGCTGTGATATGAAACTCAAAAGAGGCCAACTGATCTCATGAAAATCAAAGGGAGACAGTAGAGGAAAGGGACCAAGAGGTGGGAGGCAGGGAGGGAAGGAGGAGGTGCTGGGGAGTGATATGGGCCAAATTATATTGTTATATTGTACAGTACATGTAACAGCAATCCCATCATTATGTACAACTATAATGAAAAAGAAAAAGAAAAACGTGCAAAACTAAAAGAGGGCATCTGAGTCTAATAAAGAATCTACTTCCTGTTAGAATTCTAGAGGGGCAGGTCACACTGGCAAACCCTTGCTACCATGGTAGCGTGGGATAGGGAATAAGTCTCACTGTCTTAAGGCTAGTGGGGAAGTCCATAGGAAATTCAGTGAGGCATAGCATTTAGGTTTATACTTTTTAAAATTAATCTGTGTATGGAAATTAGTTTGGCAGAGGGCCAGAGACCACTAAAGGTGTATCAAAGCCCAGCTCAGAGATGCTGTTTTTCTCTCAGAAAAATCTTTGAGTCCTCGTTGACTGAGTATTTCTCCATCACTTGCTCTTCCCACCCATAAAATATTGCATCCTTAAGATTTATTTTCTAAAAATGTCCATTGCCTGTTATTTTTCATTCCCATTGACCTGATTCAAACTTCTTCTTTGTCTTTTCAGAACTGTTTCAACAGCCTCTTACTCTACTGACCTTCTAGATCTCCTAGTTTCCTTGTTCTCTACTTCAGTACCATACAGCTGTGCTGCTAGAATTACCCCCCTTATCCACATGAAATGCATTTTGTTGCTGCCAAATGCATAAACATTAAATCCAAACTCTTCTTCCTGGTTCACCACCTCCACAGCGCTGGCTCTGTGGACACTGCCAGTTTCCTCCACCATACAAGCACCTTCCACAAATTTCCTATTTCACACACCAACTCATGAATGTCTAGATACACTAAACTCCCCCCACCTTCTTAGAATATCTTTCTCTTCCAGTTCACTTATAAAAAAAAATCCATATTGAAGACTCATTCCCGATCCAGCTTCCTTCAATTCCAGATGTCCCCAATCAGTTAATCTTCCTTTCTGCATAGGTTCCAATTATCTATCTAATTAAACTTCTTACTTGTGTTTCACCATTTACTAGAATCTATTCCCTATTAGAATTCTATTTGAATTAGTTAATATGAGACAGACTGTCCCACTAGAGTATGAATTTCTAGGGACTAGGGAGATTTATCATCATCCTTTCTGTGTTACATAAAGTGATTTATTTGCCCTTTATGTAAAAGGGATCAATAAATGTTAAATGAATTAACAGGTGGTAGTGAGGTGATTTGATTCCAAATTGTGAATCAAATTTTGTCTCTGAACAAAATCTCAAACCTCATGCTGGCTATAATATTCTAGGTTCACCAAATACACTGAATATTTTATTAACAGTATTGTTTTGTTTTTTTCTGAAGGTGGCTAAATGAAACAAATCTCAAAACAGTAACAGTTAACAGTTTTATTGAGAAGTGCTGAATTCTGTATTGAAAGTTGAAATTTATTCTATGAATATTGTAGAGCTCAATTTATGTATTTATTTTTTTATTTTGCTGGGGATGGAACACAGGGCCAGGTGCATACTAAGCACACTGTCATTGAACTATACCTCCAGCCCCCAATTTTGCATCTGTCTCTGGGCATGCAGCTATTAATAAAACAGATTATTGTTCTGAAAGCATATAACAGATGTTGTCAAAGAAGTTTGGGATTTCTTCATCAAGAATTGCAGGAGAATATACTGAACTGGAAAAAAAATTGTTCAGCTAACTCAGAGAGGTGGTTACAGTGGAGATGTGGCCAATATATAACAGTATATACAAAGATAAAATATAATATTGCTAACTGAGTTTATTTAGGGCGTGTTTGTTGCTAATATTTTATACATTCCTTATTTTTGACTTTAATAAAATCTTGCACCAGGCAGTTTTTATTACTTTTTCTCAGTATTACTTTTTACCTTAGACTGGGAAGCATCAATAGAGGTGTTAAGCAATAATCACTTTCATTGAATTCCAATAGGAGCCTAACATCATATTGAAAATTGGAGATATATAAACTTAATTTGTGGCCTCATGTAGCTTGCAGAAATAGCATTTTATAAAGTAATTACATTGCCGCAGGGTAAAAATTAGGAATGTAGTACTAGAAGATGATGCTCATGTAGGAAACACTGACTTTTTTTTTCAAGGTCAATTTGAAACAGGACATTAAGGACAAATACTATGATTTTTTCTGAAATATGAGCATCAAGTATGTGAACTCTCAGAACACAATTAGCATAGATGAAACCTAAAAGACCTTTGATGGAAAGACATAAATTATGAAGGACGTGTACATTCAGAAAAATTTAAGAGTGTTTTCCACATGTCTCTGTATAAATAATGTAAAGAAAGATTGATGGCTTCACATTTGACTAGATTTTGTTTGTTTGTTTTTTCAAAATCTTTTCTAAGAATTGCCCTGGTGGAAAATATTCCTGAAGGCCTTAACTATTCAGAAAATGCACCATTTCACTTATCACTTTTCCAAGGCTGGATGAATTTACTCAACATGGCCAAAAAGTCTGTTGACATAGTGTCTTCCCATTGGGATCTCAACCACACTCATCCATCAGCATGTCAGGTAAGCTGCATCCTCTCTGTGTGTGATAATTTTACGTATGTGCATTTTACAGTCTTTAGTATTCTTTTCTTCCACTCCTCAAGCTCAACTCATTTTTTAAATTCCACCTTCACTCATGAGTACATGCATATCATCGCATTTATCTAAACATGTTGTGGTTAATCATATGTTGCTTGGCTCCTACTAGCACCCCAGGCTTTTAAGGGCATGAGCATATTTCCACTTTGCCTACTATAGGCTCTCTGTATAGCATTGTGCCACATGGCTCCAGGAGTGCCATTCACATCAGAGCACCTGTCAACAGCAAGGACCAGAAAAGTGCTTTGCACAACCTGCATGTTTACAAATCTATTTCTGTAACTTATTGCCAAGATATTTATTTGGTCAATTTGTGTTATAATTTACCACTAGGCTACAGAGCCTACTTTTTTCTTTTTTTTGGTACTGGGGGGATTGAACTCAGGGGCACTCAACCACTGAGTCACATCCCCAGCCCTATT